TCTTCTTCTTCTTCTTCTTCTTCTTCTTCTTCTTCTTCTTCTTCTTCTTCTTCTTCTTCTTCTTCTTCTTCTTCTTCTTCTTCTTCTTCTTCTTCTTCTTCTTCTTCTTCTTCTTCTTCTTCTTCTTCTTCTTCTTCTTCTTCTTCTTCTTCTTCTTCTTCTTCTTCTTCTTCTTCTTCTTCTTCTTCTTCTTCTTCTTCTTCTTCTTATTATTATTATTATTATTATTATTATTATTATTATTATTATTATTATTATTATTATTATTATTATTATTATTATTATAATATAAGTTATATAAATAATTAGTATAAAGAAAAGTGTTAAAATATTTTTTTTGTTATTTGATTGAGGTTATATTTTATCCATAAATTCATAAATTATGATAGTTTTCTTTACTGATTAATTAGTATATTTGCTTCAGTCTTCAATTTTAACTTTATCCTTTTTATATAGGAATTAAGTTATATATATCAACAACATAATGAATTTCTTTTACAATGTTCTCTCAAACTGCATGAATACAAAAGTATTCATACATTAGTTGTTTTTAGTGTAATTCGATATATTATATTAGGTTATTTATAATTTATTTTAGATATTCACCAACAAGTGCTACTTAATAGAATGAACTACAATTATCGTTTAAATTGATTCTTGTGAGCTCAAGTTAGTTAGTGGTAGAGCTCAAGTTAGTTAGTGGTAGTTAGTGGGTTAGTTAGTCGGTTAATAATGCCAGCTCATGTCCAGCTCATAAATTAATGATATTTAGAAATTTACTTGTATAAATACTACCCTGTATCTTCAGAGAAAGTCTAGAAGAAAATCATTTTGCAATGCCTGTTTCTTCTTTATTTTTGTGCTCTAGAAGCTTCTGCCATTAGAGCAGTGTAGAGCTGCTGCAAATCTGCAAATTAGATTCTCATTCATCGATCGATCCTTCGACATCAATTTTCAATTTCCTGAGATTGTTAAAGTGTGTGAATCAGTTATGGCAGAATCAACAATTTCATACACACGTCCATTGTATTTAGGTCCAGCAGATACTTCAGGCATTGTTCTAATCCCTGTGAAGCTTACATGATCCGAGAATTACGGGCGATGGAGTAGGATGATAAAGATCACACTGCTTGGGAAAAGAAAGCTAGGGTTTGTGAATGGAACTTGTACGAAGGAATCATGTACTGCTGAGCTACAAGAGCAATGGGAAACTTGTAATGCTATTGTCCTCTCAGGGCTCATGAACGCAGTATCCACAGAACTTTTGTATGGAATTGCATACGCTTCAAATGCTCATCTCGCGTGGGAAGACTTGAGGGAGAGATTCGATAGGGTGAATCGCATGAGAATTTTTCAGCTGCATCGAGCCATTGTCACTCTCTCACAAGGTACAAATTCTGTTTCATGCTATTTCACAAAATTAAAGGATTTATGGATCGAGTATGATGCTATGGTACCTAAGGCCAATTCAAGGGATTATGTTCAAGGGATTATGTTGATCATTTAGAGCAACGTAGATTGCTACAATGCCTTAGTGGATTAAACGATTCTTATGACCAAGCTAGAAGACATATCCTCATGAATTCGAATGTGCCTTCTATCAATCAAGCTTATGCGATGGTGATTGAAGATGAATCTAGGCAATGTCTTGGTATGGGTGCAGTAATTGATAAGAATGAACCAGTAGCTATGCAAATTGGTTGTAACCAAGGCTATAAGGGAAAGAAACCTTTTGTGCAATGTGAAAACTGTGGTTACAAAGGTCATAGCAAAGAGAACTGTTGTAAGCTCATTGGTTATTTTAAAGAATTTAAGGGAAAGAAAAGGTTCAATCAGCCTAATAGTGGACATTTTAATCGTGGAAGTGGTAGTGCAAATGTACAATTTGGTTGAGGAACTCCACAGTTTAATGCTGTTAACAATGTTTCTAGCAATGCAGGTGCTCAGTGCTCTTCTAGCTGTGACTTGCAGGATGCTCCCATTCTTCACAGAGGAACAATACAAGCAGATTTTAGCATGTTGAACAAGGAACCAATTGACAATCAAAACAACATGGACAATCAAAGCAATATGGCAGGTATAATAGCGTGTTTTATGTCCAAATATATTACTAGTGAGTGGATTGTGGAATCAGGTGCCGCACATCATATAGCTGCATCTATGGATTTATTAACAAATGATAACACTAGGAAGGAATCTAAGGGCACAGTACATTTGCCTACTGGAGATAAGATTCCTATTTCTCATACATTCCATGCATCTTTATTTGGTATTGAGGTTATAAAAGGTGTCTTGTTTGTGCCTGGTTTCAGATTTAATATCCTATCAGTATCCAAACTCACAAGAGAACTGTGGTGTTCAGTGAATTTTTTCCCTGACTTTGTCCTCTTCTAGGATCTTTACAGTGGCAGGGTGAAATCGGTAAGGAGACAGGTGGTTTGTACAATGTCAAAGGTAGCAGTAATAATAACAGTAGAGGTTGTAATGTAGCAGCAGCAATCGCAGTGAATGCGGACTGCAGATTATGGCATCAAAGGCTTGGCCATCCTTCAGCTTCTGCTATGAAAAATATGAATTGGTTAGGAAGCATTGTAAATAATAATCTTCTGAATAATTGCCCTGTATGTCTCTTAGCTAAACAAACTAGATTGTTGTTTCCTACTAGTGTTTCTAGGGCAGTATCTCCTTTTGATCTTGATCATATGGATCTATGGGGCCCTTATAAAACACCTACCTATGACAAGAAGTATTTTTCCTTACTGTTGTGGATGACTTCAGTAGGTTCACTTGGATTCATTTACTGCAACTCAAATATGAAACAATTGTTGCAATTAAAAACTTCCTGTTAATGGTAAGAAACCAGTTTGGAGTTATAGTGAAAGTGTTGAGATCAAAAAACGGCACAGAGTTCTTCAGCTCACAGTACAATGATCTGTTATAAGGTTTTGAAATATTACAACAAAGCAGCTGTGTTCGCACTCCACAACAAAATGGAGTTGTGGAGAGAAAACACATGCACATCTTAGAAGTTGCAAGCGCACTAAGGTTTCAATCAAAAATGCCTAATAGATATTGGGGAATAAGTGTAACTACTGTAGTATATCTGATGAACATGTTGCCCTCATCAGCTATTAAAGGAAAAAGTCTTTATGAGATGATATATGCAAGACCTCCATCTTAACTCACCTGAGAGTGATATGATGCTTGTGTTTTGCTTTAGTTGTTCCCAAAGGAGATAAGTTTGTTGCAAGAGCAAAGGCATCAGTCTTGATGGGATATTTAGAGATACAGAAAGGTTACATCTTATTAGAACTGGCTACCAATCAAATATTTGTGAGTAAGGATGTGGTATTCAAGGAGTCTCTATTCCCTTTTGCAAAACAGCATGAGATTTCCATCAGTCACAATCCTCATGTTGACCACTTGGATTTTGGCATACTTGATGTTAGAGTGCCATCTATAGGAGTTGCAGATAACTCACAAGACTTAGGTCAAGATTCAGATGTAGATCAAGGTTTAGTTGTACTTACAACTGGCAATGCAGGTGAAGAGAATGCAGAGAGAGACAATGCGTTGCAGGAAAGCTCATCATCTGAAAGTATAACTCCAGTCATACAAAAAGATGAACCTCATGTTCTTAATCAAGACATGACCACTGATGCTTCACATATTCCGCTGAGAAAATCCTCCAGGACCTCCACACAACCCTATTTGGCTAAAAGATTATGTCACAACACAGAAGGGAACCAGTAAGTATCCCATCACCAACTACATATCCTATGACAAGGTCACACCAAAGTACCAAAGTTATTTGGCAAAGTTTTCCACATTGGTTGAGCCCAGGTTTTTCAAACAAGCTGTCAAGGGTGCTTGATGGATTGAAGCAATGAGACAGGAAATCAAAGCTTTAGAGGATAATAAAATTTGGTAAGTTGTAGACTTACCATCAGGGAAACACATTGTAGGATCCAAATGGGTCTACAAGATCAAGTACCAAGCAAATGAGGACATTGAGAGGTTCAAGGCTCGATTAGTTGCAAAAGGCTATAGCCAACAAGAGGGTCTAGATTATCATGATACTTTTTCTCCTGTAGTGAAGATGGTAACAGTAAGGTCAGTCATAGCCTTGACTGTTTCTAAAGGTTGGAATTTATACCAGATGGATGTTTACAATGCCTTTTTGTAAGGTGATCTTCATGAAGAAGTTTACATGGATATGCTTGAAGGTTTTAGGAGGAAGGGGGAGTAGAAGGTTTGCAAATTGCTTAAGTCCTTGTATGGACTCAAGCAGGCATCAAAACAGTGGAACATTAAGTTGTCTGATGCACTGGCAGCAGCAGGATTCATACAAAGCAATCACGATTACTCCTTATTCACATAAAAGAAACCATAAGGCATGGTGGTCATCCTGGTGTATGTGGATGATTTGCTCATCACAGGCAGCAATGAACAACTGATTACTGAGGCAAAGGAAATACTCCACCAGCAATTCAAGCTAAAGGACTTAGATGAGCTCAGATACTTCTTGGGCATTGAAATATTAGGGTCAAACACGGGGGTAGTTTTGAATCAAAGAAAGTATGTCCTAGAACTCATTTCTGAAATGGGACTCAGTGGTGCCAAGCCAGCAATCATTCCTTTGGAGACCAACATCAAGTTAACTACAATTGCATATGATCAGGGAGAAGGTTCTATAGGTGACTCACCTTTAGAAGATTTTAGTGCATATCAAAGATTGATTGGTCGTTTGATGTATGTGACTACAACAAGACCTGATATTAGCTATGCTATTCACACCTTGAGCCAGTTCATGCAGCACCCTAAGAAGTCCCACAGGGAGGCTGCTCTTAGAGTTAGATATCTGAAGAATGCTCCAGGCCAAGGTATTTGGCTGAGATCTGGTCCTGCATCAGAGTTACAATATTTGTGTGATTCTGATTGGGCAGCTTGCCCTAATACTTGGAGATCACTAACAGGCTATGTGGTAAATTTGGCGATTCTCTCATTTCATGGAAGTCAAAGAAGCAACAAACATTCTCCAGAAGTTCAGCTGAAGCTGAATTTCGTAGCATGGTTTCAGTTGTAGCCGAAGTCACATGGTTGCTTGGGCTGTTTCAAGAGATGGGAGTTCCCATCAAGCTTCTTGTTCTAGTGCAATGTGACAACAAATCTGCTATACAATTGGCTGCTAATCCTATTTTTCACGAATGAACAAAACATATTGAGATCGATTGTCATTTCATTCGTGATAAGATTAAGGCAGGGGTGGTCAAGACTGTCTTATGTCCATTCCAAGGACCAACAAGCTGATTTACTCACCAAGAGCCTCTCTCAAGCTTCACATGTTCATCTTCTTAGCAAGCTTGATGTGCTGAATATATTGCACCCTTCAGCTTGAGGGGGAATTTTGTGAGCTTAAGTTAGTTAGTGGTAGAGCTCAAGTTAGTTAGTGGTAATTATGGTAGTTAGTGGGTTAGTTAGTCGGTTAATAATGCCAACTCATGTCCAGGTCATAAATTAATGATAGTTAGATATTTACTTGTATAAATACTACCCTGTATCTTTAGAGAAAGTATAGAAGAAAATCATTTTGCAATTCCTGCTTCTTCTTCATTTCTGTGCTCTAGAAGCTTCTGCCATTAGAGCAGTGTAGAGCTGCTACAAATCTGCTAAGTGTAAGAGCAGATTTTAGCATTGATCATAAGGAGTAAATATTTTTGACACCATTAATGCTCAAAACTAAAGCTATTACGTTATGTACGTTTATTTCTTTTTCTTGTTTGTGATGATAGCCAAATAAAAATTTGTGGACCTCAACATCCGATAGTCCACTATTTTATTTTTTGTGCTCTTCTCTCTTTTTTTGTTTTGTTTTTGAAATTCACTTATTTTTTCTTATATGATTAATTTATTGTTTAGAAACTAAATTTTGTAGTTAGTATAAATATTTTATAAAATAAATTTAAGGGTCTCTTAATATAATTTTACCTTAGGCCACGAAATTCATTCGTCCTTGTCTAAAATTATTATCCTTATCCTATGTACTAAACGACCCAGGCATCCTGGTAGGAAGGCCGACCACTACATAAGTCGCCATCCGTCCAGGAGAGAAGCAAGCTACCTTTCTTTGATCCCCCTTCCCTACAACTAGTATAGTATAGCAGAGCAGCCAGCTTCAAAGCTTACCTGATTATAAAAATAAGTATTTTAAAAAAGAGAAAGGTTAGGGGCTGAGGCTCAAGCTTAGATAGAAGAGTCCAACGAGTCCACTAGTCCATCAATGGAAATTCGATAGAAAAATCATATTCATCCATTACAATCTTTGATGATATTTGGACTTAATTGAGAATGAGCCATAATCTAAAATTTGCCATGTCATATAATTGACTATGGTCGTCTGAAATGCTAGCAATATGGTAAAACACGTGTGTGGTGACTGGTGAGGTTCTTGTTTTGGACGCAGGCTTATCCATTGGTGACTCAGCCGACTCTGAGAATCTGAATCTTTGTTGGCTACCTCGTAAGTCGTGCATTAAGTCATGGGACAACTATGAATTAGTAGGACTTACTTTGTCCGCAACTGATTGTTCTTTCCTAATCCAACTTCAATATATTCTGCTCGACTATCAAAATCATAGTGGAACTACATATGTTTTCTAACAGCTAAATTAAAAGTTTCAACAACTAAAAACGAAAGTATAAAGTTTTCAATCCATAATAATTGATAAAGTTATTTCTGTGTGATCTATAGATCACGGGTTTAAGCCATAGAAGCAGCCTCTAATGCTTGCATCAGGGGTGGACTGTCTACATCACATTTCTTGGAGTGCATGCAGCCTTCCCCGGACCCTTCGTAAATGCTGGATACTTTGTGAATCGAACTGTCTTTTTAATAATTAGTAAGTGTTACTTGTGTTTTGATCTTAGTTAAATTCACATTGACATCAAGAGTTGGAGATCAAATCTTCATAAATTCAAAGATACATTCCTCTAACCACAAAAACGTTCAAGTTATAGCGTAAAAATCATATCTTAAATGCTCAAAGAAGTAAAAAAACATAAATAATACATAACATTAGATGCATGCATATAGTTGTTTAAGCAGTATACATACTCCAACATATAAATGGGTTGATGTATAGTATATTGTACTCTTGTGACAACAAGTATATGATATTTAATGCTGACTTTCGTTAAGTGGGTTCATTTCGCAATATACACGTAACCGGCAAATCTGTGCCGCAGTAGTACGGGCAGCTAGTGTTACAATCAAGGAACCGAAGCAATCTGAGATCAAAATTGACAAAGAACCCTAACTTCGAAGAGAGAGAAAAAGGAGAACCTTTTATTGAACAGAAGTCGGTCCTATATGAATTGAGTTCTCTGTTAATCTATTAGCCTAAACTATCTATTATACACTAACTGAAAATAAAAGGCTACATGTTACAAAGATGGTTAAACATACAAAGATAAATACTATTACATGTTAAAATGTATTCCAGGTCTTCAAGATGGGCCTGCCTTGGTATCTTGGGCTGGAGCATGCTGGGCTTCAGGTAAAGATTGGGCTCCAACACCCCCCTGCTAGCTGGAATGGGCCACCAGTCCAAGCTTGGAAAGGAACGTACAATGGTGAGCACCTGGTAAAGCCTTAGTAAAAATATCAGCCAACTGCGAACTAGTAGGAATAGCATGCAAGGTGATGAGCCCAGATTGGAGCTTTTCACGCACAAAATGACAATCTATCTCGATATGTTTGGTACGTTCATGGAAGATAGGATTGCGGGCAATGTGAATGGCAGAGTGATTGTCACGGAACACTGGAAAGGGACACAAAGAAGCAACCCCAAACTCCCTAAGTAGGCGAACAACCCAAACAATTTCTGCTACCAGTTGTCTTAAAGCTCTATATTCGGCTTCAGCGGAAGAAAGAGCAATGGTAGCCTGCTTTTTAGATTTCCAAGAGACAGGGCAACCTCTCAATTGTAATAAAAAAACCACTCACAGACTTTCGAGATGTAGAGCAACTTCCTCAATCGGAATCACAAAACCCAAGCAAAGCAAAGGAGGAAGAATTATTGAACAACAAACCCAAATCAGGAGTGCCTACCAAATATCTCAACACATGTAAACCAACTTCAAAATGGGGAATTCAGGGTTGTGACATAAATTGACTGAGGTGTTGTACACTATAGGAGATATCAGGCCTAGTGTGTTGAAGAAAATTCAACTTCCCAATCAACTTTCGATACAAGGACGGATCAGGAAGGGGATCCCCAAAATCAGCAGACAACTTAACATGAGCATCCAAAGGAGAAACCACAGGACTCACATGAAGACAATTAAATTCAGAAAGAAGGTCCAAGAGAAATTTTTGTTGAGTAACAAGCAGTCCCTGAGGGTGTTTAACAATCTGCAGCCCCAAGAAAAAATGGGCCTCTCCCAAATCTTTAATCCGAAATTGAGCATCCAAAAATTGCTTTAGAGCAGTAATTTCACTCAAATCATCTCCAGTTAACAAAATATCATCTACATATACAACCAAAATGGTAAGAGAAGAGCCAGACAATTTAGTGAAAAGAGAATAGTCATTCTTACTGGAAACATATCCTTTGGAAAGAAGAGCAGTGGACAGCTTTGCATACCACTGTCTTGAGGCTTGGCGAAGGCCATAGAGGGACTTATTAAGCTTGCAAACTAGATTTACAGAAGGATCAGAAGCAATCACTTCCAGTCCAAGAGGTACTTTCATGTAAACCTCCTCATCCAAGTCACCATGCAAAAATGCATTATTAACGTCTAACTGAAAAATAGCCCAATTCCTTTTAACAGCAACACTTAACAGACACCTAATGGTGGTAAGTTTGACAACTGGAGAAAAAGTTTCATTAAAGTCTATTCCCTCTTATTGAGTGTCTCCCCTTATAACAAGTCTAGCTTTATGCCTCTCTATACTACCATCTGCCCGTTGTTTAATTTTATATACCCATTTAGAGGAGATGGCCTTTTTACCAGGAGGCAAAGGCATGATGGTCCAGGTGTTATTTGCTTCTAAAGCTTGAAATTCTTTCAACATGGCATCCTGCCAAGCAGGGTGAACCACAGCTTGATGATAAAAATGTGGCTCAAGCAAACAATTGTCAAAAGTAGTCTTAGGATCCTTGGAGACAGAAGCATTAGTGCAAACATAATCTTTAAGATAAGTGGAAAGATTTTAGGGCCTGGAAGATCTTCGTAAAGGAACAGGAGAAGTAGTAAACTCTGGAGAGTGTGAAGATAAAGGAGCAAGTACAGAGGCAGCTGGGGAAGAATCAGAGGTAGGAAAAGGAGGAGGGGGAGGAGTGGAGGAAAATACATCAGTAGCAGCAGGAGGAGGGGAAACATCAGGAGGGAAAAAATAAGGAACAGAAGAAGAATATGGAAAAATAGACTCATGAAATATAACATCCCTGGAAAAGAAAACATTATGCCTCGTTAGGTTTAACAATTTATATGCCTTCTTTGTCATGCTATAGCCAAGAAACACACAAGAAATAGTCCTTGATTTAAATTTGTCCCTATAAGGCTTGGGTACAGCAGCAAAACACAAACACCCAAAAACTTTAAGGTGAGCATATGCATGAGGTGATCCAAACAGTAGTTCGTAAGGTGTTTTGTGTTGTAACAAGGGAGAAGGAAAGCGATTAATGAGGTAAGTGGCAGTAAGAATGCATTCTCCCCAGTATTTAAGGGGTAGATTAGATTGAAATAATAAAGACCTAGCAGTTTTTAGCAAATGTTTATGCTTCCTCTCCACTACTCCATTTTGTTGAGGAGTATGTGGACAGGAAGTTTGGTGTATAATACCCTGAGATGAAAAGAAAGAAACAACTTCAGCACTTGAACCTAGTTCAAATGCATTATCAGATCGAAGTGTTTTGACAGAAGAATTGAATTGGTTATGCACAAAGAATATGAATGACTTCAATAGAGCAAAAGCATTGGATTTGGCGGAAAGCAAATGAGTCCAAGTAGACCTGGAAAAATCATCTACTATGGTTAAAAAATATCTAAATCCATTGTAACTTTGAGTATGGTAGGGTCCCCACAAATCTACATGTACAAGTTGAAAAGGGGTGGTAGATTTAACGGAGCTGTCAGGAAAGAAAGTCTTTGCTGCCTAGCCATGGGACAAACATCACAAATAAAGGACTGTTTCTTAGATAGTTTGTCTTTAATGTATGAAAGAGATTTCATTTTATGAAAAGGCATGTGACCAAGCTAAGGTGCCAAAATATATCAAAATCAAAAGCAGGAGAAACAGGATGCACACAACTGGTAATAGTTTTATTTGCTTCAATAGTATTTACAGTGTGTATGGAAGAAGAAACAGATGGAACACAACCAGAATTAACAGGAACATTAGAACTAGCATCACCAGTTTAAAGAGCACGAATGTAAGATGATGAAGGAGAGTCACTCTGGAATATGTACAGTCCATTAGAGATTTTACCAAGAACCAGTGGTCTCTTCAGAGAAGGGCCCTGTAAAACACAATCATAGGGAGAGAAAAGAGCATTACAACAGAGTTGCAATAAAAGTTGATGCAAGGAAATCAAATTGTATTTGAAGGGGGGGCACAAGTAAAACATTTTGTAAAACTAGACCATTAAACAAAGGAAGAGAGCCTGAACATGTCACTTTGACTCTGTAACCATTAGGAAGAATTACCAAGTAAGGAATGGTTAAAGGTTTAAGATTGATTAACAGAGATTTCTGAGGTGTCATATGATTAGTTGCACCAGAGTCTATTATCCAAGGATCACCATCTAATTAGACAAATTGCAAGCAAAGACACAACAATTTCTAACATCAAGACAGTGAAACAAACCTGCAAAATTAGAAGATCCAGCAACAGTGTTATCCTGTGTAGTCACCTTGGTCTGTTGAAACAGATTTAGCAAATGTTCGTATTGTTCCTTTGTGAAACCATGACTCTTGGACTCAGGCTGTTCAACTCGATTGTCAGCAACAAAGTTCTCTGCTTGGCCCATGTTCTGAGACTCTGAAACATGCACATAAGCCGTAGTTTTTCTGAATTTATTAGGTTGAGGATTATTAGGATATCCAATCAACTTGTAGCACTTTTCAATAGTATGACCCGGTTTTTTTTGCAATATCTGCACACCATATTAGTCTTCTTAGTATCAAAGTTAACCTTCTGAGAATAAGTCTTTTGCACTCCAGCAGGAGATGGTCCTGCATATGGCCTTTGCACACCAGCAGAGAATGAGGTAGATTCAGCAGAGAATGAAGGAGCTGAAAGCTGAGCCTCACATTGACTTTCATCATTGAGCAACACGGAGTAGGCAGTGTCAATGTCTGGTAGGGGCTTCATCGTCAAAATATTTCTCCGAATCGTGGTATAAGTGTCATTAAGTCCCATTAAAAACTGGTGAAGTTTCTGATCCTCTTCCAATTATTTAAAAGCTTCCTTGCAACCACACACACAATCAGGATATGTAATCGAGTAAGCTAATTCATCCCACAGTTTCTTTATCCTAGAGAAGTAAGAAGCAACATTTGAATTTCCTTGAGAAATGGAAGACAAGGCCTTACGAATTTGATAGACCTTGGATCCATTAGGTTGACCATAACGTTTCTCTATGTCATTCCACAACTTAGCAGCCGATTCAGTCTACATAACGCTTTCTCTAATTTTAGCTTCTAAGCTATTCAGAATCCACGCAATCACCATATCGTTACATCGACACCACGCCTCAAACAGTGGCGAAGTTGCAGTAGGTTTGGTAATTGTCCCGTTTATTATTCCCAGTTTATTCTTACAAGATAAGCCAATTAACATCCCTCGTCTCCAACTTCCATAACCCATCCCATTAAATCTATCAGCAACAATGATCGTACCAGGGTTATCAGTCGGATAGAGATACAACGGGTGAGAAGGTTCAACAGATGTTGAAATAGAACCAGTAGAAGTAGAAGATGTAGTCTCAGTATTCACCATTATGAAAAATACGAAATTGAAATTCTCTAAAAATTAGGGCACCAAATCTACGGAAACAATTACGAATCCAGAAAATAGAGAAGAGTACCGGTCTTCTTCAATCAGTCGAAGAAGCAAATATCTTCAATAATCACAACACACATCCACTGGAAACATCAACAAATCACTGGAATTGAAACAGGAAAATCTCACTAGAAACAATCGCGAAACATCACGCCAGAAGACGAAAACTCAAAAGTCAGTTGTGAAGAGTAGCATCGGACGATAGCGGAGGTCACGGCGAGCACAAACCTCGCTCTGATACCATGTTACAATCAAGGAATAGAAGCAATCTGAGATCAAAATTGACAAAGAACCCTAACTTCGAAGAGAGAGAGAAAAAGGAGAACCTTTTATTGAACAGAAGTCGGTCCTATATGAATTGAGTTCTCTGTTAATCTATTAGCCTAAACTATCTGTTTATACACTAACTGAAAATAAAAGGCTACATGTTACAAAGATGGTTAAACATACAAAGATAAATACTACTACATGTTAAAATGTATTCTAGGTCTTCAAGATGGGCCTGCCTTGGTATCTTGGGCTGGAGCATGCTGGGCTTCAAGTAAAGATTGGGCTCCAACAGCTAGCCTGTTTGTCTATTATCACGTCGGCACCAAAACCTTTGTAGTAATAAATTTGGATACAAGTTTAATGTTTATTTGGCACGAATCTGAATTAATTGGACCAATAAATTTGAAATACTAAATAATTAAGTAAAAGTAGTGTATGTAATTAAATTTTGAATCATCTTTATATACTAGTCTTAGGTTACGCGTGTTGCGCGTGTATCTAACTCAATTAATATAAACTTTTTAAAAATCATATAAATATTATGTTAAATTTTTGTATTTGAGTTATACAATAAAAGCTAAAAAAAAGTGGAGAATATGAATGATCACTATTTCATTGATATTCTATTTTAAATGGTAAAACAATGATCACTATTTCATTCATATTCTATTTTAAATTAAAAGAATCTTTGGTGTTATTATGTCACGATACAAAATCTAACTAGTAGTGATTGCACCTAACCCAACCTGTTAGGTAAGTCAATTAACAATAATCCAATTTAATGAGATTTATCGAGGAAAATAAATGATAAAATAACTGAACCTTTTTACTTTTTCCAAGGACTGGTAGTACAAATCACGAGCTTCTAAGATTTAGAATTTACAAAACTGGCATTAAATAAAATACATTATCTGTTGAAATAAACGTGAACAGAGTAAAATTCCAAAGCTATCAAGGACAAGAGGCAGTTGTAACCAGATCACAGATACATCTTCGCTGCCAGCTCTCGCTATACACATCAATATCAACATCTAAAATCTGTACGCAAGGTGCAGAAGTGTAGTATGAGTACAAGTGTCACGACCCAAAATCAATCGTCGTGATGGCGCCTATCGTGGAACTAGGCCAACTTCAACTCAACAAACCCAACACAACAACAATAAGTTTGAAAACATTAACAGAAGCATATAACATTTAAAGAAAATTGTTTGAAACATAAGAAACCTCAATATACGATGCAATCCCGCCCAAAACCGGGGTGTCATTGAGTACATGAGCGTCTAGATCAGAATACAGTCCACTACAGTGTCTAGAGAAATAAACTGAAAATACTACAAAAGATAAAGAAGGAGCGTCAAGGCCCGCAAACGCCATGCAGTTAACTCGATAGTCTACAAACTTTGGAACCTCAATCAGCAACCGCCGCTGCGACCGGTATCGCCTGGATCTGCACACGAGGTGCATGGAGTAACGTGAGTATACCAACTCAGTAAGTAACAAGTCCAAACTTTGTACTGAAAGGTAGTGATGAACTCAACCGCAACAGATATAACAGAAATAAATGTGCATAAACGTAGGCATGCTTTCAATAACAGCTCAAGGCAATAAAGTAAATACAGATCTGAACAGTGTAAGGTATACAACTCAGCTATCTCTACATGCCAATTCACAGACTGTATGAAACGCACCATGTGCTCCCACTCTCAAGTGCTCAACCACTCGGTACTGTATATGGCCATCCAGCCCAGGGAAATCCATCCCGAAACATATACAACACTGACTATAAGTCACCCAGTACCGAGGAAAAAGGGCAATCCAACCCTGTGGAGAAATCCATCTCCAGGTATCAAGTACTTCAGACAAATCCATATCCAGGAAAATCCATACCTTAATAATATAATTCGCGCTCACTGGGGGTGTGTTACAGACTCTGGTGGGGCTCCTACAGCCCAAGTGCTACCATAATCATCAATATAACCGCTACGGCATGCAGCCCGATCCCATAACTGTCACTCATAACCAGACTCTCGGTCTCACTCAGTCATCAATCTCTCCAGTCTCACCCACGGGCTCACAATATCATGAAAACAAACCCGGAATAATGATATGATGAATCAAAAAATAACTGAGATTGAGATATGATATAAAAATGCATGAACATGATTGAGTACGGAATATTAATGAAAATAATAAGATGACAGCAAGAAACGACCACTAAGGGTCCCAACAATACCAACATAAAGCCTAAACATAATATCTATCATGATTTACAGCTCAATTACTTTATCACACGATGAAAGCACGAATATCAACAAGATAGAGTAACTAAACGGTGCCATGGAATCACCCAGGTCACAATTCTCGCGGCGCACGCCCGTCACTTGGCATGTGCGTCACCTCAATACCAATCGCATAACATATAATTTGGGGTTTCGAACCCAAGCAAATGTATATCATTAACAAGCAAGGTAGGAAGCATAAATAACATCAAGGAGAGTGTTTAAGCGAATGTTCCAATTGAACATCAACCACGGCTTTCAAGCCAATAACAATTCAATAAACTTCAATTACTTTATTATTCAAGTATTTCAACAAGTCTCAAAATGATATTAAACTCAAGTATAGAATTCAATATCTCAAGAATAACGGTCGTAGCGTCATATTTGTAATTAATTATAATAACGACCGGATTTAGCACATCAATAATTTCACAAAAGTCCGTCAAGTTTTACTCAAGTTATAATAGCTAAATCATGGTTTCTAGCATTTAATTTTCTATTCATAGTAATCTAGAAGTCAAGGAAGACATGAAACAAGAATATCACATAACTCTTCAAGGCACAATTAATCGTATAATTTACGTCCGAACAAGATTAACCCTGGCACATACATACACTCGTCACCTCATATATGTATCACCCCTGCATGTAGAAAACAATGACAATTAGTAGGAAAATTTTTCTCAATAAAGTTAGGCAAAATACTTACCTCAACCAAGTCAATTCGATACACTAGAAGCGTTTTCCCGCTCAAATCATCCTCTGAATGGCTCGAAACTAGCCAAAAGCAAATCAAATACATCAAATAATGTCTAAGGAAACAATTTCAAATAATAAAGGTCGAATTTAAAATTACAACTCCAAAGTCAGCGAAAAGTCAACAGTGGGTCCCACGCCTCGAAATCTGACAAAAGTTACAAAATCCGAACACCCATTCAACCACGAGTCTAACCAAACCAAACATACCAAATTCCTATCACAACTCGACCTCTAAATCCTCAATTTAAAGTGTAGAAAATTTCTACCATTTTCGACCCAAAACAATAATTTGATGATAAAAACAACAATATATTTATGCAATTTAATCAAAACTTAGTAGAGAACACTTACCACAATCCATATGGTGAAAATCGCCTCAAAAATCGCTTCAATCCGAGATCGCGATCCCACTTTGCGATCGTGATTCAAAAAAAATTCCAGCTCAATTTTTACCCTTCGCGATCGTGAACATTCCCTCGCGATCGCGATGAACAATTTACAACAAGTTTGCCCAACTTTTCGAGACAACCTCTAGTATAATGGTCATAACTTTTTGTACAAAACTCCAAGTGATATTGGTTTGATTTTCTGAAAACTAGACATCAAGGGCTATAACTTTAATTTTTGGATCATATCCAAATTCCTTATAGATTGCAAGATATAAGCTTCCAAAGTCAGGCCTATGCAGCAGAAATTTCTTCTTCGCGAACGCGAACCTGTCTCCGCAAACGCGATTCACTTGCCCCCTTTTCCTATTTTTCTCTTTGCGAACGCGACCCAATGTCCGTGATCGCGATGCACATTGCTGTAGCCAAAAATCAGCAATTAGAAATGTCCTAGAAATGGTTCGAAACCACCCCGAAACTCACTCGAGGCTCCCGAAACCTCAACCAAATATACCAACAGGTCCTAAAACACGATATGAATTTAGTCGAGGCCTCAATTCACATCAAACTACGCTAACACTGCGAATCGCATCCAAATTCAAGCCTAATGAAAGTTAAGAAATTTTGACTTCTACATTCGATGCCGAAACATATAAAATCAAGTCCGATTGACCTCAAATTTTGCACACAAGTCATAAATGACATAGCAGACCTATTGAAATTTCCGGAGCCACAATCCGAACCCGATATCTTCAAAGTCAACTTCCGGTCAAACTTATGAACATCCCAAACCTTCAAATTTCCAACTTTCGCCAATTAGCACCGAAACCTTCCGGGCATACGCCCGAGTCCAAAGTCACCATCAGGACCTAACGGAACCATCAAAACTTCGTTCCGAGGCTAAATACTAAAAAGTCATACTTGGTCAAATCTTCCAACTTAAAGGTTCAAACATGAAATTCATTCTTCCGAACTAATTCCGAAACACCTGAAAATCAAGACCGACGTTTCACACAAGTCGTAATACATTATACGAAGATACTCAATACTTCAAATAGTTGAAAGGAGCGTAAATGCTCAAAAATACCGATCGGGTCGTTACATATTAACTTTTCTCAACCACTTTCTCTCTTTCTCTCTCTCTCAATATATATATTAACTGTTCTCAACCACTTTCTCTCTCTCTCTCTCACTCAATATATATATATATATATATATATATATATATATATATATATATATA